CTGGGACTGGCAGGGCAGAAGAATCATGGTAGGAGCCAAGACTCAGGAAAGATCGATGATTGTGATTTAGAGGGAAGAGGTGGGGACCAGCTGCCCAAGGCAGCTGGGATGGAGTGGAGGGGCCCACTGGCTGGAGACAAAGACTTGCTAGGCAAGTTTCGCTGGGGGATTTCTAAGCCCAAACCGTGAGCCTCATGGGACTGAAAAACAATGCTGTCTCATACCACTGAGCAGTTCTGTTCTCACTAAGCTGTTGAGGCCTGATTCTCTACTCACATTAGTGTAACGCAGCTGCAGGGAGCTACTCCTGGCACACAGGCTGGTGCTAGCAACTGAGAGTCCCATAGAGCAGTCTCCTCATTCTGGCTCTGTATAATGCAGACAGGTAGCTCCCTACAGCAACTGCTTGCTACCTGAAGATTTGTCCTTTAACAAGAGTCCCTTTATTAGTAATTATGGTAGTATTGCTTTATTAAGTTACAATTAAGGAAGTGAAGAACGCAGGAAAATAAAAGACAGTAATTCAGGATAGAGCCAGGAGGCCCATGTGCCAAGCTGATGGGCAAGCACACATCTTTCTCTGCATGTCATTACTGGAGGTTGATTAGTGAAGGGTTGTCATCCCTGAACCAGGGGACATGCTGTGGATACTTACTTAGCAAAATCCATGCTCTGCCATTGTAATGAGGAAAATACAGGAGAAGCTAATAATTACTTGAGTGTTTAATGTAATGAAGAAGAGAAAGCTGCAGTATCAACTGTTTTCTGAAGATACAGATTTAAACCTGATGTCAGGTTTTCTTTTGTGATGTGGTACTGAGGTGTCCTTATGTTATTGAGAAAATAGCTCTCTGTAATGTAGGCTTGCATGACTTCATCTGTTCTTTAAATGCTTTGGCCAGGTTTTGGGTGAAAACAGACTACATAGTCAACAACTTTAGTATCTGTAAAAATGTACCCTGCCTCTGCAGAAGAAAACTAGCAGACCTGTAAGCTTATAAGTTTAAAAAGGGACACAATCTCCACATGTTTTATATAGAAACAGTTACTGCCTATTAAAAACCTGTTGGTTGGCTTTAGCGCTGTGTGCTTATGTGAGCAGTGTCCTGCTGATGCGTGGCTTTACTTTATCAACACGAGTGCAGATAAGAACGATGCCAGAGCAGGAACTATGGAGCATTAGGAACAGAGGGTGCTGGCTGGAGTAGGCAGCTCTGCTTAGGACTGGAGAGCTCTCCAATTTACTTCTTTTTTTTTCTTCTTTTTAGGCAGTTTAGCTTTTTTCAAGTGAGCTGCAAATTTAACTGAGTGTCAATTTCAGAAATATTCACAAAGCTTCCACAGCAAAAAAAAGAAGGAAGAAAAAGACAACAAACATGTTAGCATTCTGCTTTGAGAGGTGCATGAAAAAGAAGACACCTCTATCTTTGATCTATATATACAGTTACAACAGTTTTTGTGTATACCTAAACAGTCCCACATGATCCACGTGTAATTGTGTAATTAGATAAATGTGACTTACCTAGTCACAAAAATCTAAATGGAGCCTGTATTTTACATTCTCATTTGCTAGGTTGCCACTTCTTTAAAAACAAGACCAAGAAATATTAAAACCAGTCAGTACTGTTCATCTTCCTCAGCAAAGAGAATAGGACAGAGGTGGCTCACATCAGTGGATTTAAGACCATTAGTCCTTTTTTGGGGCATTATTTTTTGACTGAACCAGCAATTTCCAACAGACTTAAGTAAAAATTCAGGTCTTAAATTTTCCTTGAGTTAGACTTTGACAGCCCCTTCACTCCTGGTTATTTTCCTTCTTTCCTCCTCCCAACTACATGTCTGTTTTCTGCTTCCTGAAGAGCTAGCCTCATTTCTGCACTTTTCTAACACAAGAGAAGTCTTTCGAGGGAGGAAATTAGGTGTTCACGTGTTCCCTGCTGGGCTCTTCCCTCTTGAATGAGCCTCTTCTTGATGTCAGCAAAAAGCTGGACAGTCCAATGGCCCTCCTCACCTAAAAAGACAAACCACCTATTGCAAGCGGTTACTAGAAAAGAGAAAGGCAGAACTTAATTGAGATGGTGATTTAGAGAGGTGTGCTTTTTGAACGGTTGTTCAGCCTGAATGCTCTTGATTGTTCATATACAATAGGCCTGATTTTCAAGAGGGGACGAGTCCTCGTAGCTTCACTGGGAGCCAGCAGGAGCTGCCGGAGCTCCGTCTGTGTAAAGGTCAGGCCCAGGCGGTGCTGAACAATGCTTGCCGTTGCAGATGGAACCTAAGAATCAAACACAGGAAGAGTTAAGCCAAACTTTCATTGCCAACTCAAATCACAATGTGTTTGGAGTTCAAACAAGTCTGGATTTTTTTTTTATTTAGTTAGTTTTAAGTTTTTCTTTCTTTTTTGAGATGCAGCTGCTTCAGGGTTTAAAGGATTAGAAGCCTGAAATGCTGGAAATCTCACAGGAAGACCTGCTTTTAAAATCTCCAGCTCTGAATTGGATGAATGTCTGACCCCTTGGGCTCTTATTATTTTCTGTTGAATTTTTCTGCAGTAGGCATTTTCTAGCTAAGTATAAAAGACTGCTATCAAAGGCTTGGCGTTTATATCGGAACTGAAGTCAAGTCACTGAGAAGTATCATGACAGCTTGAATCACGCTTCATAAGCTTAACTGAAGGTCTTTGCAAGCATTTGGGTTCATCAGAGCATGGCCAGGAATAAGTCCTGACAGGGTGTCTGTTAGGCTGTGGAACAGCAATTCCATTGGTATTTCTGTGTGTGTATTACCTGTTAGTCAAGGAAACTGTGCAAGGTGCTGTATAAAATAATACGGAAATAGTTTCTGCCCTGAGTTGCTAATAGTCTTCATGTGAGGCATTCTGACTGAGGAGACATACAATGAAACAGTGGGACTACGGACCAGCAGTGAGGTCAGCTTACTTGTGAGCTACAATTGTCCATGTGTTGCGGGTCAGCACAGCAGACCATGCCTTTGAGGAGGAGCTAGCTCTGTGAGTATTTAGTTACAAAGACCTTTTCTCAAACAGGACAATGGAAAGCGCAAAAAACCCATAGCCTTATCACTGAAGTTTTAACAAGCTGGAGGCTTGCTATGGATTAACAGGGAATCGGAATGAACATTTTCATAGCGATTGAGAGATGGTAGAAAAGGTGAAGACTAGTCATGAAGATTTTGGAAACTGAGGAAAAGTCTGTGAAGTTGCTGAAAATAAAGAAAAGAAACTTAAGCTTGATAGGAAAAAGAATAAGGAGTCACCAGGGAAGGCTCAAAGAGAGGGGTAAGCAGACAGAATAGGGTTATATTTATCAAGGTGATAACCATAACAATATGTTGAAAGTCTGGCAGTGCTTCTCCTAAGAACACTTGAAACACTGAAAATAAAGACAAAAAAATTACTAGATAATTTCATGCAGGAACACATCCTTAAGCAAAGAAGATGGGGTAAGGTAGACGCCTTTCTAAATCACTTTCCTTTTTAAATTTCTATAGAAGCAAGGCGATGTAGTAACTGGAGCTTTGGGCCCCAACAGCTGTAAGTTCCAGATTTCAGTCAGTCCCAGAGAAAGGAAGACAGACACACAGAAAATATGCAAACCAGCAAAGAGGCAATTCTTTCAAAAACACCATGTCACCTAAGGGTTTTCAGAAGGCAGTTAAGGCGCGTGATGACTGACCTAGAACAGGTCAGTCCCAGTGCTGTACTTAGACTGTAGGCACTGTGTTGGGGATTAAATTAAGCAATGGTTTAGATGTCCATTGCAAGATTCATTCTTCTATTTCTTGGTATAAGTCTTCATAGTGTTTTCTGGTTACTGCTTGTTTCTTTCTTGAAATTACTTTGATGTCTCCTGCGATTGTCTCTCTTGACACTTTCTTACATTCTGCAGACGCAAGTTGTGATCTGCTTGGCAGTTCTGCAATTGCTCTGACACTTGAGAGAAACCTTATATGCCATCAGTCACTTATCGCTGCTTTGAATTTGCTGGCAGACCCTGTGCCACTCATACATTCACTGTGGAATTGGCTTTATCTTCGCTGGCTTGTGGTTTGGGGACCACCTGTCACAATCCCTCATTTTAATCCTTTTTTTTTGTGATTGCACTGGCAAGATTCATCACACCATAGCACAGGGGTAGTCTGCAATAACTGGTGTGGATGTCTCAGATTAAAAACCGTGAAACTGTGCCTTGAGGAGCAAGGGAAGACCCTGGAGATAATGCCTGTAAGCATGGGCTGCAGGCCCCCCCTACCTCCAGGCTATTTGTCCTGATTTCTCCCAGAACAATGTGTGAGCAAACCCTGTGAAGCTGAATGTTGTTTGTTGCTTCATTTTCAAATTACAGCTCTGCCACGCAGACTGTAATAAAAGCGGAACTCAACAGGATACACCACTGTGTGATACAACAGGGTCAAATCTTTTTCTGATGCCATTCTCTCCATTTCCCTCAAAGTTACATACGGGATGAATTTGGCCCTAGAGGTCTAAAATGTCCTGACAACACCCGTGTGAATACAAAGCAATGGCGTGAGTAGATCGGGGCGGGAAGGCAGCTGGGAAGTGCACTGAACTGCAAGCACTGGCATGTACAGTAAAACTGATCACTTGGAATTTACGCAAGGGGAAGTATTTGAAGAAGATAAACAGTAAACCAAACTGTTGCCCACACAGAACCTAAGCCCTTCTAGAAATTTAGAAAAGTTCAGTTCACTTAGTATTTTTACTATTTTACATTTCAGCTCCATGGCCATTAAAATAAGAGCTTCTCTGAATGATTTCTGAGTAGAAAAGGAAACAAAGTGGCCATGTTTTGCTATCCTTCAATGCCCAGGAAACAACAGAAAATGCTGCAGAAACAGGGTGTCCTCCCTGCCCTATTCATTACCAAGAGGTTCAGATCATTTAAAGAGGCATTGGTATTTCTGGATACTAAATCAAAGCCAAACCTCAGGGTGAACCTCTGAACCTCCTTCAGCTTGACCATTACTTCTTACAAGTGATGTTTCAGTTTTCATCTAATGCCAGAGAAAAGTCTTTCATTCTCCCCAGCTGGCATCAGAGATAAGGGACTAAATCCCCCAGACATTAAAACATCAAACGGTTCTGTCATGTGTTACTTTAGTCTCCTGCTCAAGGTCTTTTTCTTCTTCCCAACTGATGTCAGATGTAATGCAAAATAATCAGTGAGCAAAAAAAGAGTAGCAATTTAAACTGTGGCTTTGAAGTTCAACCCCTATTCTGGGCTGTTGCCCTTCATTTTCCAGCCATCTAAGAGGTGTCTGTCCTGAAGGGTTAACTCAGGCTGTTAGGCCACATCTACAATGGCTCATCTATTGCATCAGGGAATACTCTTAGGATGCACTAGGAATTGGTTGTGGGTCACAAAACTGCACTGCACTTTTGCTAAGATATCTCATTGCTGATCCTTTCGCCCCAAATGACCCCAAATTAATACCAGGATATGTTCATTCACATCGTAGTTTTGCTGGCGTAGCTGTTCCAGTCCCGTATCACACCTCAGTCGCAGCCTCGAGTACAGCAGCCATGTCAGCAAAGGTTTATAGTGTTGCCAGTTGTTAGCCAAGTGCCACACACATCAAGTGTGTGCTCCCAAGTGTGGGGCTCACTAACCAGACCTCACCTTACCTGTCACTTTGGCTTGAGCTGGTGATGTGCTTGGCTGCATCTCTCTTCAGTACCTTCTACCGTTAACTTCCAGTTGCCCCCCAACTCTGAAAACTACTTGTCAGCCTTGTGGGCTACTCGTACAGGAATTTTAGCACTTGGCCAGAGCCAGTCCCATGCCCTGTCCCTGCTCCCAACTCCTGATTGCTCACAACGTGCTCCTTAAATGACAATACCATTGGTGGGGTTTCACCATACAACAGAGAAAGCAGGGAAACATGGAGACCTGCACAGAGATCTCCACAAAGCTCTCCTCTTGGTGTTGGGAATGATGACAAATGAAGTGCTGCCAGGGACAGGAAGGAATGTGGCAAGCAGTCCTTCATGATGGAAATCTTCTTCTCCAGGAGCCAGCAGCCAGCAGCCAAAGCTAGAGATTGGTGTAGCTTTCTTGAACATCAAGCCTTGCAGAAGACTTCTCTTAAGCAGGTATCTGTTCTCACCCTGAATGACTGTGCATCAATTGCCACCATAACTGATAAGGCTTTTGCATACTCTGAGGAGATATTAGACCTTGTTTGGTTTATAGAACTAGTAAGCATCCTTATCTCTGCCAAGACACAACCCAGCGCAACACCAAGGTAAATAGGACAGGTGCAAGCAGTGGTTCGGCACTTCTACGGACTGATCAGCAACAACATGGCAGAAGCCTGAAAAGATACACCTCTCCTCTCAAAGAATACAGCTCTGATCTGGTGACTAAGCAATAAAATCCTCCCTGTGTTCTCTTCCCCCCGGAGGGTGCCAGTGACTGAGAAACCACCGGCCTCGGCAGCCCCTTGCAAGATTGCAGAGACCCCTCTACTCACCAAGTATCCTAATGAATGAGTGGAATACACATAGCTGATAAAATTTGCATTTACTTTTATCTCCCTCCTTGGAAGGAGAGAGATTATATGTTGACAGAGTTCAACAGAGCTGGCCACAAAGCCCCAGTGCAGGCACGGAGGTAATTTGAGAGAAACAGCCCCATTTTCTGTTCCAGCCATCAGCTGCACCCTTGCTGTGAGATGGTGAGAAGGGAAGTGGCCGACCCCCAGGGTATTTTCAGAATGCACAGCTTGCTTGTAGCTCTTGGTCACACTAAAGCATCTCTTTGTATTCTTAACCAACATTAACTTTAAGAGTCTTCTAAATTTCAAATTTATTTTCAAATTCCCCTATTCGAGCCAAGGGAAAATTTAAAGGGCCAGTTCCTCACCTGAAATAAGACTTTTCAACTTGATTAATCATCAGCTGAAGGTTTGGCCTAAAATCTTTTATTTCTTTGACGGAGAAGACAAAAATAGCCCATTTTTTTTCCATTTGCCATATGTATTCATCTGCCCCATTAGCAGCAACGGCAAATTTTACTACCTTTTTCTCCTGTTAGCTGTCTAGAAAGAGCAAAGCTAGGCAACACCAAGCTGGAACCTGTTTTGTCTTGCATGATATCCACATACGTATTACATGAATTTCAATTGCAAAACCAGCAGTGCAATTCCCTTGTTTTCAGATCAAGCCATCGATTGATCATATTCCCAGAGTCCCACTGAAAGTAACAAGGTTGCACATTTGAAATAAAGAGCACTATTTGGTCTGCATATCTTCATTAATTACTGGTGTCTGGGCTGAGTGTGCAGAAATAGCCGTGGGGTGAGTCCATCCCTTGACTTGTTACCTAGGCAAGTGTGATATGGACTTATGGACACTTAGTGGAGATAGAACTCTAGGATGAGATTTTATTTGTCTGTTTATTTTACAAAGTCACTTTTCACAGTAGAGTTTCACTTTGGTATTATAACAAATTCATGAGATCTGCTGTAATGTTAGGCAGAAATAACCTGCTGCATAGACAATCTGGTGGGACAGGAACAGGAAGACATGGCAGAGACAAGTGGAATTTTAAGACTAAAGAACCAGTCTTTAGCTGCTCAAGTGAGGCATATGTTATATATGAATTAATTTTTTAATCTCAGCTGGGTGACATTTTCCCAAATGCAGAAGTGTCACCGATTCATTGTGATTGGCACACTCCCCAGAAGAGGATATTGCCAGTAAGGGCTGATGACATGTTAGGTCAGGACTGCAGTGCACTGTTGAGCCTTGAGACTGAAATAAGGGCTGTTGCAAGTCAGGGTTGAGTTTGCAGAACTGCGTGGGGGCAGCTTGCGCTGTGTTCTGAACACATCACTAAAAAACACTGATGGCATTTCTGACACAAACAGCACGTGTATAAAACCTCCACTCTGGCAGTTTCTCCTCTGGTTCAGGTGGTTAAACTGAACTTGAGGCTTTTAGTTTTACTAACTGAAACATACAATTGATAATTTGTCTCACAAGGGAAACTCAGGGTGGACTGCAATAATTTGTTTTATTCTCTCCATATGACCCTGAAGTCAGAGGAGCAAGAAGCAGAAAGACGTCCCATGCATTTTAGAGCCAACAGAGTGGCTCCTATTCTACCTGCAGCTGTAGGTGTGTAGCTGGCACTTCTCTGGGGGCTGGCACCCCTTGCAGGTAACTGAAATAACTCCAGCAACCTTTGGTAGCCTGAAATAACTCCAGCAACCGCTGGAGATGTGGCTAGCTCAGAATCAGGAAGCTGATCCTCTATGCACATCCCTCCTTGGCCATAGCAGAGGAGAGAGGGTTCAAGAAAAGAAAATCATAGTAAAATCCAACTAAATTCAAACAAAAGAGATCTGGTAGAACATCCTTCCAGCACACGATTGTTTCCTATGGCATGTTGCCTAGTGCTCTGCTAGTAATCCTAAGTATGATAGATGAAGTTTGATATGCACAGTGACTGAGAAAAATTGCTCGTTGTCAGAACATCAGCAGCCAAGACAACAGCTATGTTTATTGACTTCCAAATTGCAGTATAATCTTAGTTATTGGTAAACCCAGTGTTGTCCAGCCTGATACTCTCTGTGGAAGCATAGCTAATGGCCTTATAGAAAGGATGGCCGCTCAGCTTCATACTGATCATGCATATTAAACCGTCACTGTAACACATTGAAGTATTGCTGTACCATTTTTTTAAGAACTGATGTTCTTCCTCTCTGTCTTTAAATTGCTCTGGTTTGAGGTCTTATAGCCAAAAGCGATCAACAGATAAAATCCACAAATGTGCATATTAGAAAATGAAGGTATAACAGGAGAGTACAAGGAGAGTAAGAAATTATTCACACTAATGGAAATAATAGAATTACTAAAGGGAGTATCAGCTTTAGGCACACTATGCTCCCAGTGGCACCTCTACTTCTAAAAGCTGCATCTGTGGCAAGTGGCTGCAGACATACTGTGGGATCCAGCTCGGTCTCAAGCTTCCTATCAGGGGATCCATGTGTCCTGAAACACGGGTGAGAAGGAACACAAGGACGACGCGTGTGTGCCTTCAAGGCAGGGCAGTACCTCCAGCGTATGGACGTGAGGGGATGTGTGTGGCTGTCATCTGGAGACAGAAGTCTGCCTGCATACTGTTAAGCAATACCTTAACTATGGCAGAACTGGAGATAGAAGCATGACTAACAGATTAAATAGGATAAATTAAGGTAACTCTGGTTACTTTTGTTACTAAACTCTTTTTTTCCTTAAGAGGTTATAAATAACTCAGAAAGCTGCCTAGAAGAAAAGCAATACAGCCCACTACAGAAACTTTTCTGAGAATTAAAAAAAAAATGTAAGAAGGGAGAAAGGACTTCAGAATTTCCCAGATCGGTAGTCTCAATAGGAGAAATGGTAATAAAAGTCTAAATGACATCAACACAGTTTCATTCATGGACTCTCAATGAAAGGAGTGACATCTGAAATAATTTATTTTCTTAAATTATACTAGGTCAGCATTTATGTAGGCAAAAGAAAAACTTTAGGCTTCCATTTGGAAAACAAATACTACGATGGAATAAGATCTTGGCTGGGCAAATATCTGCAGTTTAATGAGAGCTCAGTATAAATTCTTACACAGATTTATTTATTCTCATACTGGGATGTTTCCATCAGATTGCACAAGCACTGCTGGCGAAATTGTAGGAAGGAAGATTTGGAATCTGTTTTGCAATCTTGTACACAAATAGCCTGGGCAGACTAAAACTTTTGTTCAGTACAGTATTTTGTTTAATGTTACAAAATACAGAGTGATTGGTAGCAAATTATAAATATTACCAAAGCATTTCTCACTGGACTGAATTTCTTGCTGGAAAGAGAAACATTAAGTTCTCCCTGCAAGGGGATTTCTTAGGAACAGGTAATTTCAAAATAGCTCCCAAAGCCATAAAGGGGTAGATTCTGTCTAGCATCCGAGATGTACTGAGCGTT